CTGCTCAGGCTGGTTCTTCTGGACTGGCTGGAGCAGATGCTGAATACTCCTCGTGCCCTGGATCGGCCGGGGTGGAGGACACTATGTGCAAGGCAGTCCCAGAGCAGCTAGAGCAGGTGCCCTGTGTTGTGTGAATCCCTGAGCAGCTGCTGCTTGCATCCCAGGCCATGCGTGTGGGGTCAGTATGCAAGTCAACTCGGACTTGGAGACTGGCTCATTTTGTGGGCCGTATCTTTGACATTTCTGCTACAGACTAGTGGATTTTAGATTCTGGAAAAAGGGTATCTTTTACTGTTGCAAAGAACTCAAAGACGGTAACAGGTCAGAATACTTTTAACACTATGGATTCTTAGTTGACATCTCTGGGTTTATCTTGTTTACACACATCAAAGTGTTAATGTTGCATGATACCACACAGCCACCACGCTGTGGTTGAGAATCAGTGTAATGAAATGTGTCAGTAACTTCTGTCAACAAAATATTACTACTCTTTGGTTAGCATACTTTTCTTCAAATAGGTAAAACTACTTGCACTGGAGAATTCTGGGATGTTGTCGTCATTACAGCAGCTGACAAAAAACAGGAATCTGCTTATCAGAAGCAGTTATCAGAAAAATTGAGAAGAAAGGAGCTCCCACTTGGAGTAGATTATCGTGTTTTTGTGGACCCCCCTGGACAAAAAATTGGTTGGTATTTCATTGTCAGTTGTATGTTTGCTACAGAACAGTAGTCAAAGACATTTTTAATGTTGCCAGACTGACTCCTTATTAATATATTTATTAAATGCTTAATAAGTTTTTAAATTTCCCAGATTATAGAGCCATGAGGTACCAGTGTAATCATGTAGTATGATGTCCTCCATAGGCTGGCTGTAAGGCTTCCTTGAAATCATTCTGGTCTGAGTTAAAGTATTTCTCAGAGCAAGATCACGTATCAGTTTTAAAAGATGCCAGTAGTAGAGTCCAGTGTTCATTCTGCAACACTTAGTAAAGTTTATTGTTTAAGTTTGCAATTTAATTTGATTCATTTTTAAACAGATAACATTTGCTCATTCTGGTTAAGTGTTATGGCAACAGTTAAGGATTTATGGAATGGTGTTTAAGTTGAATTATATGAATTAAATCACAAATTCATGTCCCAGTAGTATTAGATAATGTCTTGGTTGGGTTCAAGTGTGTAACAGTCACTATTCTTGTGTGGTGGTCTTTTGGATTTTATATCAGTAGGTCTGTTAATTTGTCTCTGTAATGTGTATGTCATGGTGATTTAGACTGAGAATATGTTAGTAGTACATTGTATGGTAAGTGTAGAGTACAGAATATAGTTTATTCAAATTTCATATGCATTAGTAGTAGATTCATGATGGTGTAGAATGAAAATCTCTGCCTCTAATAGATCTATAGTAGTGAATGTATATCAAGAATCCTAGTTACTAAAATGTTAGTGTCCTCTGTAAACTTTCATTTGAGACATGTATTTAGAAAGTAGCTAATCTGATTATTCCATCTACAATGCAGAATAATTTGCAAATATTATTTTTATTAATTAAACTATTTTAAGATAGAGGAGCATAGAAAGTACCCAGATACTGTTGCAGTGTATATTTTCCCTTCACAAAATGTAAATGTCAAAAAGAACCACTGAAAACTTGCTAAAATTCATTAGTGAAATTTTATATGGCAGGTCTCCTGTAAGAGTCAGTTTTTATAGCTGAATTATGACCGTCTCAAAATGACGACAAACTTTTTAATGATACTGCTGTGCCTAGGATGAATTGGACAGGGAATGTGTTATTTTTCCAAGATTTATCCACTTGAAGCACCATTCACAATGCATGTAAGAGTTTCCTAAGACGAGTGTCTTTCATCTTTCTTGTATGTTTTGATCAACATCATTGAAGTAGAAATACTGTCCTTTCAGAGTGGTTTTTAGGCAATTTCAGATGAACATTGTTGTATCTGTTGCCACTCAGTTCTCTGAACCATGAAGGCAAGAGGTTTCATTTAAAAATTAAACTAATGTTTTAAAGCACATGAGGTCCACAGCTAAGCATGCTGTTTCTCATTGTAGTACTGCAAGCTATTTCAGTTCAGCGTTTGGTACTGATTAGTGTTGCCGTATTCTCGTATGTTTGGCACACTTGGATTGCTATTGGTGACTTTCTTTTAAGTATGTATTCATATATATTCCAGGGAATGGTGGATCAACACTTCATGTCCTTCAGTGCTTAGAAGAGCTGTATGGTGATAAGTGGGCTTCTCTTACCATCATATTAATTCATTCTGGTAAATGATTTTCCTGTTTTTAAAAAAAAAAATTGTGGCACTATGATTACAGGTTGTTTGTTTTTTTATTGAAACATACGGTACTCATGGTGGAGAAACAGGCTGCCAAATGTTGCTTCCATTCAAAATTAATCTCAAATATGGTTTATTTGGTAATTTACTACCATCTGAGTGTAGATTGAGAGTTTTCCAACTCTTCCAGTTAAAAAGATCTAAAAATGCTGTGAAACAGGACCCAAGGGTTTTCAGAAGAGAAGAAAGACTTGTCACCATTCAACAGCCCAGTCCATAGGTGACGCGTAGGGAAGGCACAAGGGGACACATGCCCCTCCCTGAAATTGGCCCTTACTGGCCGGGGAATGGGGAGTGCCGGCTGGTGCCCTGCCTGAAAAATACTGGTGGCACTTCAGGTTTCCCACTGGCGCTTCCGGGGTCGGCGATCAGCCACTGGGGGACCACCCCCTTGGTCGGCGATCAGCCACTGGTGCCTCCTCAGCCAGGAAGCACCCGTCCATCGCCCATGGCCCAATCCACCAAGCTGCTGCTTGTTTGGCTTACCTATGATTTGAAATGGCAAACAAGATTTCTACTTACATGTTGCAAGAAGTGAATAGCATTCACTTTCTGATGCTATATGTCTTTGCAGATTTTTAGGGAAACACAGAAAATAAATAAAATAAAAGCATGACTAGCTTAGAAAAGGACAGAAGAATGGGAAATCATATGTACCCACTCCAGCAGAGAATGGGAGATATTTGGTTCATCATTTTTATTCAGGGACCTTTTTCCTACTTCTGCTACAAACTATAGAAGATGAAGTTGGTTATAATTAAGAAAATACCTCTCTAATGCATGCCTTCTTTTAGACAAGATCAGGATTGAAATTAGCATCCATCACTAGAAATTTCTGAAAGAGAATGACTGGTAGTTCGTTCTTTCTTTCCTTTTTGACATATGCCTGGAATGCCACCATGCTTCTCCTTTATCCCTCAATGTATAGGTAAAATAGCCATTTTGATACTCATACACCTACCTAGTTCTTGCTAGTTTTGAATACAGATTCATGAGATCCTTACAGAGCAGTGTCTGGCATATATAATAATAAAACTTCTATTTTTTTTTTCTTAGGTGGTTATAGTCAGCGTTTACCAAATGCAAGTGCACTGGGAAAAATTTTCACAGCTTTGCCTTTTGGCACCCCTGTTTACCAGATGTTGGAACTTAAACTGGCAATGTACATTGATTTTCCCACCCACATGAAACCAGGAATTCTCATTACATGTGCAGATGATATTGAACTTTATAGCACTAGTCATCAAGTAATCAAGTTTGATAAGCCTGGATTTACTGCTTTAGCTCATCCTTCAGATTTGACAGTTGGTACCACTCATGGAGTATTTGTTTTGGATCCATCCAGTTTGTCAGAAGAGGGAGAACTTGAATATAGATTTTGTCATCAATTCCTACATAAACCTAATATTGAAAGGATGCATCAGTCTGGCGCAGTACTTGTAAAGAGGAATGTTTCTCAAGTAAACTCTGAAGAACACCGTCACTCAAAAATGGACTTTGAGTATGTGTACACTGACAGTTTATTTTACATTGATCATAGCATTGCCAAAAAATTGCTAGCATTTTATAAGCAGATGGAAACACTTTGCTGTGAAATAGATGCATATGGTGACTTTCTACAGGCTCTGGGACCTGGAGCAACTCAAGATTATATAAAAAACACAGCTAATGTCACAAAAGAAGATTCACAGTTAATAGAAATAAAACAGAAACTATTTTCTCTTCTTAAAGGAACAGCACTTAATGTTATAGTCTTAAACAATTCCAGATTCTATCATATTGGGACTACTAAAGAATATTTATTTCATTTCACTTTTGGTAGCCAACTTAAATTAGAGCTTGGCTTAAAATCTAACACATTTAGCATCTTCCCAGGTAAAGCAGAAAATTCTGACAAATCAGCATGCATCATTCAGAGCATAATTGATGCAGGATGTTCTATAGCACCTGGCTCTGTTATTGAATACTCCAGGCTAGGACCCGAAGTTTCGGTAGGGACAAACAGCATTGTAAGTGGTTCTTGCATAAATTCTAAAGCAGACATTCCATCAAACTGTTTTTTGGGTTCATTAAGTGTCAGGATTAATGGAAACCTAATGTATGTGAGCATGGTGTTTGGTGTTGAAGACAACTTGAAAAAGAATGTGAAACATTTTTCAGGCATACATTCACTTCAGTTTTTTGGAGTCACTTTACTACAATGCTTGGATCTCTGGGACTTGAAGTTGTCAGACCAACTCTTCTCTGGTGACAAGACAAGTTTAGGCTTGTGGACTGCTCGGATTTTTCCTATTTGTTCTACTTTAAGTGATTCAGTTAGAATGTCATTAAAGATGTTAAATGCTGTGCAGCACAAGTCAGCTTTTAAATTGAATGGCTTTAAGCTCCTGTCTATTGAAGAAATGCTCTTTTACAAAGACGTAGAAGACATGTTGAAGTTTAGGCAGGAAATTTACAAAGAAATCAGTCTGCAAAGACAAAAAGAGAAATCTGATTTGTAGAAGCACAGTAATTGTACACTTTGGCAGTCTTTAATTTGAGGATGATTGGTTGCTTTCAAGCTTGTAGAACCTAGAAGGAAAAAGTACACAGAATTTTTTTTTTCTGGTTTTATTGAAGTAGAAATAATGAAATTGCATTAACAGCGTTATTGTAGCATAACATTAATAATGCAAAAATGCAGATAAACTATTCTTTTGATGAAAGAATTAATGAAATATTTCAAATCTATGAAAACACTAAGAGGCAAATATTCTTGTAGTGTCCATTGTTATGTATTTTTAGGTTTTTCTTAATGAGACTATGGAATAGAACATGTTAATTAAACATTTGATTGAAAAACTACTTAAAACTTCTTCAGAATACAGTGTTGGCTCCATCAACCTGGTGTTGCATAGCATTGATTCACCTTTCTTTGCATGCTTCACATTTTTAAAATTCTAGTTTCAGGAGGTAATTTTTTCTCACTTTTTTTTAAACAAAGCAAAGATAATTACATGAATAACTTTAAATCTGTTTAAAAGATTACTCATGAAAGTTTATTACAAGCTTGGAAGTATACGAGTATGCATGTTCTTTTACAGCAAACCGATTTTTGTGAAATGGTTATGTTAAAGTACCTGAACAGCTGTAAAATTAAATAGAGAGTCACAAGAATTGACCTGGTATATGCCCTTCCCATTTCTGAATCATCTTATGTACGAAAGCATATGGTATTCAAGTATTTCCAAGTTACTGGGTGCAGTATAACTGGTGATCATATTGATGGAATTAAAATGTATTAATTTGTTTCTCTTGGATCCCATCAAAGTATAAAGAAACAAATTTGATTGTAAATATATTGTTCTTATCTATTTTTAAATTTTTGAATGAAAGGTCATTATAATTCATAGTTGTAATAATATTTAGTGAAATGCTTGCCCTCAGGAGGACACAGAATTCACTTTTAAGCATTAGTTAGCTGATAATTTGGTTATGGGGTGATCAGCATTGCATTCCTCTAGGACAGAGGGCTGTTAAGAATCACACGAATGCCTATATCCCTGATTGTGTACTGGACTATAAACATAAGGTCTCATTAGTGTGATACTAATTTGTTTTTTATTCTCACTTCTGAAAATGAATGTTCTGCACAGTAATAGCAGATTGGTAACTTCTAGCAGCTCTACCCTAAAGTTAGTTCTATAAAATAATACACATTAGCTTTACTTCTATATTTTTCTTTAAAGCTTTCCTTTGATTCTTCCTTTGGATACAGATGATCTGCTTTGCAATAGATAAATATGCGTACCATTGTTGAGCTGTTATACTAGTATGGTCACAAAGGCAAACCATTTTGCTTCAGTAAAAGTTCTCTAGTCTTCTCTTTATTCCCTCCAAAGCTTTTTCTTTTAAGTAACCCATTATGTACATAATCAGTGAACATTTTTCAGCTACAAGATTGAAAAGTGCTCACTCAGACTTTATAAAAAGTTTCTTCTCAACTTTTGAATTCACATAACTCCAGATATTGCACTCTTTTCTAATCTTGTCACCAAAATAGCCACGTTTTATTTCTACTTCATGCTAGTTTTAAGAATTTTTTTTTTTTTTTATATCCGAGTCTATAAGTTGAATACAAATTTAATGCATCTCTTCCCTCTTATTCAGCCTGCTGGTTTTGATGTCCTCTTACCACCTCTGAGCCTCCCTTTTTAAAGAGACTCGTCTATAAATTGATCTGTCTTTCTTCCTCAAGATCTTTCTCAAGATCTCAAGATTTACTTTGGCTCTCCTCTTCATTCAGCCAGAACAACTTTTTATCTACTTCTTTTGAAGTGGGCTGATTTTAAGTGATCTCTTTCAAAGGTATCCCATCTGGCTTCTAGCTTTGTATTCTTTTTTTCGCCCTTGTAGAGAGAAGATCCATTCATTTCTTTGTACCCTGGTCCCTTCTGGAACAAAGACTTCTAGGACCTAAATGCTCTCATTCCAGTTATCTGTATCCCTCAATGGTGTGCGAGTATCTCCCAGAAACCCATTTTGTGGTAACAGAATTTCAGTTCTTACAATAGATTTGGGCAAGTAGAACATACTGGTTCAGTATCAAGCTTGAATACTACATTCTGGTAATCTCTTTACTAGCTTATATCCCAAAGCATTCACTTGATGCCTCCAGTCTCTCTCCCATCAAATAATGTACTTTTCTGTCTATAATAATGTTTTACAATATTGATTAGTGGCAGAATATACACAATGCTTAAAATGTTTTAAACACTCAGTCTCTTCTGAAGAAAATCTACCCATTTCCTTTATGACCTTACTAAATGCTGTAATAATTTTGAGTTCATATAAAACTGATCATGGAATGGAAGTACCAGGAATTGTATTCTTTTTTTTAAGCTTGTTAAAGACTGTACGGGAGAAAATTGAGTCAAGTTAAAATGTGGAATTTGAGTTAAGAAGCCAAACCAGTGAGGAATTGTTAAAGTATTATCAGATTAAATTTTGGCATTACTCACAAAAACAAAATGATTGTGGGCTGTTAACTCTGTACTGAAATGTCTTGATGTCCACTACAAGGCATGCAATGTCCCACCACTATTTCCAGAGTTGTTCCCAATGTTCATCATGTAACGCTTGTGAGACATTATTCTATGTTCAATGTTTCTCTGCCTGAGTTATGGCTTTTGAGTGTGTATGTTCAGAAGTAGCAAGAATGTAATGAAAGTGTAAGGATCAAGATCAGCTTCAAGTGAGAAATTGTGTTGAGCAACAATACATAGTATTATTTAAAAAAAATGATCAAAGATTTATAAAATTAACCAAGAAAAAATCAAGAAGTATCCTAGAATATGAAACATGATAGTATGAGTGTCTTGTATACTGTCACATCTACCCAATCTCATAGCATCCATCATGAAGTTATATAAAGCATAGACTTTGCATCTTTAGTTGTAGGTCAAGCTCCCTTCAGAGAAGGTTTTCATGTTCAGTTGCCTTGTTGCTAGAAAGGAATGGAGAAAATGCAGTGGAAATAAAAACAATGCTTGTATTCTTTTGACACATTTATTTTAAGAGGTTCCATAAACACAATGTACTGCTATCTAGTTTGATTGCTGAAAGTCATTTTAGCATGAATAAAAGACAGACATATAGTAGAGATTTGGGGAGTTGAAGGGAAAGTGCAGCTGGTAGGGGATGGGTTTGATTGATGGAGCATGCACTGCTGCACTTCTGAAAAGACTGTCAGCTGTGCTTCTCCAGACACTGAAGAGTGTAGAGGAAGTAGAATCCTGGTAGTTCTACCTCTACCTTATCTAGGCATGCCTTTGACTTGTAGAGTGGGTCATTGTGTGAACCCACCTCATTCTCTGTGAAGATGCATTACCTAAGGAAACAAAGATCTCCCTTAGGTCTCCCCATGCACAAGTGGACAGACAATCTCTCCCAGAATATATGAATACAGATATGCTACATTTTTGCAATTCTATTCTAAATAATTACGTGAGCTTCTCTGACTATTTCAGTTTCCTGAGCACAGAAGTTTTATACAGCCAGAAGGTATCTATTAGATCATGCTTCGGAGTTCAAGGTTGAAAATTGTGTGTGTGTGTGTGTGTGTGCGCGCACATAGATAAATAGATAACGTGTGTGTGTGTATGTGTTAGGCCTGTGCAAAGCGGCTATTATTTGCTTTGGATTCAGCCGATTTGGGAGACAGTGATTCAATTTGGTGATTTGAATCACTGTCCTGAATTGCTCCTGCTGGAATCTGATTCAGAGATTCGGCTGTTGCCGAATCAGCAAAATCTCCAAATCACACAGGTCCCATCCCCCACCCACTCTCAATGGCTGCCCCACCCACCCCAGTTCCCGGCTCTTTGGGGGAAAAAAGGCACCTCACCGGCTCCTGCCCGGTGGGGGGCAATCCCTGCTGCCCCTCACTGCCCTATGCTACATGAGCCCCCTGACTCCTGCCTGCTCTCCCTGCCACCCACCCCCCACCCTGTGGCTGCCCTGTCCACCCCAGCTCCCAGCCC